TCGTTGTGTTGTCCACAGCGATGGTGAAGATGTCGCAGGACCGGGCAGCGTTCGTTGTGTTGTCCACAAGGTCACCACGAGTTGGAGCCGACTGGACGGGCACTAACAAGGACGGCAGCGCCCCGAGGGGCCCCGTCCACACGCGCGTGCTCCCAGGTAACGCTCCTCTCCAGAGCCCCCCCTCAGCCAGAGGTGTGGAGGCCCTTGGTCCGCAAGCTTCGCCCGTCTCGCCTTCTCCGGAAAACGTAGGCAACAAAGAGGCATGAGGCCACAGTTTGGAGAGTGGTGGCTGACTGTTCTCCTTTGTTTCCCTCCTGCCGAGCGGAGCCCTGGCTTTTCTGAGACTGAGGTGGCCTGTGCTGCCCCATCCTCCGCTGGAGCTCAGTCTCTGGGGGTGGGGGCACCAGAGCAAGCACACTCAGCAGTGGGGCCCACGGCCTCCCCCACTGCCGTCTCTCCTTGGCTCTTACACACGGAGAGCCTGGTGCCAGGAGGAGGAGGGCTCTGGGAGCCTGGAGCCCCGCCTGGCCAGGGGCTGCCCCCTGAGCAAGGTGGGAGCTGGCAGAGTGGCTGGAGGGAGCACGAGGCCGCACTGTGAAGATAGGAGGGAAGGGCGTCTCCCACGGTGCGGCTGGGCCGTGCTCCGAGAGAATCACGTGGGCTGGGACTGCCAGGCCAGGGCTGGTGCCCACCCGGAGCGAGTACGAAGCTGGTGACGGCAGTGTGGCGCATTGAGCGACCGTGCTCCTGGTGGTCTGCAGAAAAGCCAGAGACCTCGGCTGAAGCCCCTGAACTCCCCGAGGGGCTGGCAGTAGGACCCTGGCCCTCTCTGGTGTTGAGCGTTTCACAGCCACACACCGTCCTCGAGGACAGAAAGGCAGAGCCAGGCCCCAGTGACGCTTGGTCACCAGGAGGGTGTTTTCTGTGAGCAGGCGTGGCAGCCCCGTACGCCCTGGTGTCAGGGGCCCGGGGGGCCTTGGGGGTGCCGCTCTGCTCATATGAGGCCCTGTGCTGGACCACGTGCAGCCAGCATCGGGGTGGTGTGAGGGTGGGCTCCACTGCAGGAGCTCCGCAGGCCCAGGCAGCTGTGACCATCTGGTGGCCAGGATGCAGACCTGAGGGATGAGAGGTGCAAGGAGGGCCTCTTCCCACCCGCCGGTTGACCCACGCCAGGCAGTCCTGGCTCTGTCGGGCGGTGGCGGACGTGTATGAGGCACTCGGCTGGCCCTGGGGGCCGTGTGGTGGGGCCGGGCCCTAGCTGAGCCTTAGTTTTCAAGTTTCTGTTGGGAGATTGGCCTGCGTTGTCTCTCAGTCTTCGTCCCTGAAGGTGGGTCTGTCAGGTGTTGAGCCCCTGTGATGTGTGGCTCTTCTCTGCAGGCTCCAGGCGTCAGCCCCCATGGCAGCCGCGAGCGTGACCCCCCCGGGCTCCCTGGACCTGCTGCAGCCCGGCTTCTCCAGGACGCTGCTGGGTGCGAAGCTGGAGGACAAGTACCTGTGCTCAGCCTGTGGGAACGTGCTGCGCCGGCCAGTGCAGGCTCAGTGTGGCCACCGCTACTGCTCCTACTGCCTGGCCAGCATCCTGAGGTGAGGCTCGCACAGAGGGAGGGTGTCGGCGTCGGGTGCATGCTGACGCGGCAGCGCCCCCACGTACGGGGTTAGGGGAGGAACACTGGTGGTTTGAACTTCACCTGCCTCTTGTCGTGTCTCGGCATGTCACTAGACCCTTCTGAGTTATGCTCACAGCTCACGTGTTTGCACTGGCAGCACTGTGGCAGATGTATCGTGGGCCTTGGGGACGGCTGCCTGGTGAGGACTGGCCTGCAGGTCAGCAGCGGGGGGCCCGCGGGGAGTGAGCGCACGTGTGCACGCGTGGATGCTCAGCCCGGTGCAGCGCCGACGCTTCGGGGTTCCAGTCGGGATTCACCGGTTTTAGATCCTCTAGCAGCTGAGCAGTTAGATGCTCATCACTGACCAGAGCAATGATGAGGGTGTGTGAGGGAGGTGGGCGAGGAGGATGGTGCTCGCTCACCCCTTGCGGGGGTCTCACAGTGGGCTCTTCCTTCTCTTCTCAGCTCCGGGCCGCAGAACTGTGCTGCCTGCGTGCAGGAGGGCATCTACGAAGAAGGCGTTTCCATCTTAGACAGCGGCTCGGTGAGTGCAGCGTTTCTGAGCTGGACACGCTGACAGGGACGAGAAAATACTCTGGAGTCCCCTTTAGGAGCAGGGAGGGTGGGTGACATTTGAAAAGCTGGAAAGCGTCCTGGAGCAGATACACACAATGCTTCGAGTCTGGGGAGGTCCAGGTTGAGAGCCGACTCCTGAGGAGCCTTCTGAGTGAGCCGGACACGGCTCAGCCTGGGCTTGGCCCGGTTGGCTTGGGCGATGCTGCTCCTGGTCTATGTGAGGAGTGGATGGGAGGACGCCTGACCAGGCCTGCTTCTCTCCCCAGGCTTTCCCGGACAATGCCGCCCGCAGGGAGGTGGAGGGCCTGCCGGCCGTCTGTCCTCACAGCGGGTGTACCTGGACGGGGACAGTCAAGGAGTATGAGGTAATGTCGGGGGGAGGGGACGCCTGTAGAGGGGGCATGGGGGGACGTCGGGGCCTGGGTGGGCTCAGGGCTGCAGCCCTGGCCTCACAGTCCACTCTCCCCGTTGGCTACGCCCAGGCCTGTGCCTTGCGCCTGCTGGGATTTAGCGGGGGTGATGTCTGTCTGAGAAGTGCAGTGACTGCTCTCAAAACATGTCCACATGGACACGTACATCACGCGGCACCCCGGCTCAGGTCCCAGATCTGCCACCACCAATGGGCCGTGTGGCCTTGGGTGCCTGCCCTCTCTGTTCAGTGTCCAGCTTGTGGAAGGCTGCCTTACCCCACCGTGGGGAGTGGTGTGCCGTGTGGAGGTTTGAGCATCTGCTACAGAATTCCTGGCATCAGCGTCCAGCCGCAGCCCCGGGACCAGCCCTCTCCAGACCCCTCAGCCGTGATGCTGCACAGCCGCGCACAAGGCGTCTTTCCCTGGGGTTTGCTGACGTGGGAACTGGGGATGCCGTCGGCGCTGGCACGCGGCCGCAGGAAGGCTTCTGGTGACTGGTGGGGCCGTGGCCGGCTCACAGCCTCACGTGGGCTTGTCCTGCTGCCAGCGGGGCTAGCTTGTAGTCCCCACATGGCACCTCAGGGAATGTGTGATGGCCACGTCACCTGTCAGCGTCCAGCAGTGCACTTTTTGAGGTGGAGGCTGGCAGTTCTGAGAGCAGCGGCCTTGGCTTGGACGCGCCATCCCCTCCTCAGTTGGTGCCCTCTCAGGATGGGTCAGAGGCCGGGTTGCGAGTCGGGAAGGCCCTGGCATCACGCCCAGGTGTGGTGGTATGGGGATCGTGAGGTGTTTGCTTGGAGCTGGACTCCCTGGTCTAGGAGCACCTAGTCTCAGGACCACATAGGGGTCAGGGCAGAGCTGGGGGGGGTCCTGGAGCTGCCCCTGCAGGACTCTGGATGGGGGTTAGGCCCGCCGACCGTGCTGTCAGCCCCACCCTGCCCACAAGCTCGCCGCACTCTTGTCTTCTGGCTGGTTCTCATTTGTGCTCTCTGGCTCTGCGTTGCTTTTTGCTAGACAGGGAGGAGCTGGAGGTGGACGGCCTGTGTGTAGGGCTGGCTGGCTGCAGGGTCAGGGTCCCTCCTGGGGCCAGGGGCTGGCCTGGTGGGCGGTACAGGGCTGCCCCCCTGGGGAGGTGGAGTCACACACCCCCCTCCCAGGCTTGGGGTCTTTCTGGGGGCTCCTGACCCCTAGGCCTGCTAGCCCAGCTATGGTTGGTGGCTGTGAGCAGTGAGTGTCCTCCGGCCGTGGGCCAGAGACCGCAGCCAGCGTGGGGCTGTGGGGGCCACGCCACCTGCAGGCATGCAGAGTGGAAAGTCCCTGGCCGGGTCACTGCGGGCTTTGGAAAGTCCCTGAGCCAGGAGGCCGGCTGGTCGTGTGGGCGGCGGTCAGCTCTGAATTCACGGCTCAGCTTCTCCTGGCTCTGCGCGTCCCAGGGCGAGACGCAGGTCCTCTTGTGCAGCTGAGACCCACCCTCGGCGCTGACAGCACGGCGGCGCCTGCATTCCGTCCCGGCTGCTCGGTGTTCGTGCCTCTCCTTGGAGGTCTGGATTGTTTGGACATGTGGGAAGATAGTCTGGTCCCACCTTGGATGTTTTTGTTTTGGTTGTCATGCCTAGCGTGTTCTAAGAATCTAAGGATTTTAAACTCAGGTTTAATCTGAAGTGCTTAGTGTGTTCTGAATGCTTGTAGTGAACGCACACCACAGCCATCCTCACGGTGATGCTGCAGGGCGGCAGGCTGTGGTGGGCTGGGCCATGCCGACAACACGGTGTGGGGGTTAGGAAGGCTTCCGGGGAAGGTGCAGGAAGGGGATACAGTCAGCATGAAGGGGTCCTGAGAGCCTCTGACGTGGAGGGTCAGGGAACAGTCCCATCCCTTGTCCCACCCTACGTCTTAGGGAAGGTCAGCACTACAGTGGCTGTGTCTGTGCAGAAGCCTGAATTTGGTGCTGACTGGGTAGACTCTGATTTGTGCCAGCGCGTGCTGGTCTCTGAGCATTGGGGGGTCTGAGCATTGTCCAGTCATGTGAGGCCAGCGTGTGCTGGTCTCTGAGCGTTGGGGGTCTGAGCATTGTC